GCACTTGCTAAATACTTCTCTGCTTAATAACCTTATCAGTACTCTGCCTAGCGTGTAAGCACTGACTAACGAAATCAAAGTAGAAAGGCTTGAGACTAGAAGTGTGTGCTGAGGAGAGTTGTATTTTACACAAATAAAATATCAATTTTAATATATAAGGATGTTGTACAACACATGTGATACCTCGGCTGGGTAGTAAGCTTGAACAGTGCGCTGAATGGTAGCACAACAAGGGAGCAAACCACGTGTGTACAGTCGCGTCGGAAATCACAAGATGGCGTGGCGCCAAAAGTGGGTAAATGCGTTAGAACAAAATTTCAAGCATTCAAGGTACACTACAGGCTGGTGGGATATTGGCAGGCTTCGGTACACGAAAGTAGTGAGCTGAGAGTAGGGCTTTGTTCAATTATATTCAATGAACGAGGAATATTGAAGGTAGTAATAAAGAATTGTGGAAGGAAAGAAAAAGGTTAAGGTAAATGAGAGGCACTATACACATGGTTAGTGGAGTAAGGCGAATTGACGTTAGTGCGTTAGTGCGATTGCATGATTCCAAGTTGTTGTGTTTCTTGTTGTACATTTTTGTGTCTTCCGTCTTATTTTTATTCATTTATTTTTGTTAAAATATGTTTCGCACGTTTTATTTTCATTCATGTTTTTACTCCGTACTGCTACGGGTTTACGTCTGTGAAGGGATGATGGCATACCCACGTTGCCCAGGCTGTCATAGCGGATAAGTGACTCATTATCTCTAAGTTGCGTCTTAAGTCAATGCTCCACTCTCCCGCTTCAGCAGCAACTAGCAATCGATACTAAAGACAACAAATATACCAGCATATTGGAAGGAACAAGGTAAACGAAACAGAAGGGAGGAATGGGAGAAGAGGTTAAGTTATCAAATTCAGCATGAGGGTGTTGCGAAAGCTTGGGCCGAATAAATGCGAGGAGACATGGTATAACGCGAAAGCAGTACGTCAGATTGAAGTAAAATAAAGAAAATTGTTAACATTACGTAAATTTATAAAAGTTACAGAGCAGTGTGAAAGTAGCCAATAGCGATAAGTGTTTATAATTAGTAAAAGACAGTGTCGTGAGTTGGATAACTTAAGTGATGAGAAATGGTTACAAGTACGCCTCACAAAATAAAGAAGTTTCAGCCGGGCATAAAACCGCGTGAACATAATAAAATCTATGAAAATAGATAGAATTAATATTTACAGCATAGAAGTGACAACTTTATGCATAAAAATATGCAGTGGTCCATTTAACTGTACAGTACAAGTTTTTTATCCGATTTGTTTAGAAGTTTCCTCAAAATCCTTTTTAGTTTTTTATTATTGTTCTTTTTTCGTTTTTTGCAGTAGAGAAAAATTCTATACTGTTCGTAATTCCACAATCGTTATGAACTACGAGACGACATTAAAGCCAACAGGTCTAGCGTGAAGTTCTAGACGAAATGCAAAATATGTTACTATAGGGAAAGTGCTGTTGATACTCTCTGTAACGGAAAATATCAAAAGGATTAGTACCTGGGAAAAACGACTACTGCCAGAAACGAAACAAACGAAAAAAATTGGAACCCAATCACGCGCGCTCCTTGAATAGGATGTGCTTTTTCCTCTCCATTAACCTAACTTCTGTTATTTCAAGGGTTCTGGAAAAGATCGTGAAAAGTGCTCTTTATTGACTTCCTCTCTCAAGAGAGATTTATCACTCCTTATCAACATGGTTTCATGAAGTCACGTTCTTGCACGACATGCCACTTACATTTTCTCGATCACATCTCACAACTTAGAGATTCCAGTATGATCACAGTTACTGTATACTTAGATCTTAGTAAAGCCTTTGACACTGTGAGCCACCGACTGTTAATATCTAAAATCAAGCATTATGGGGTCCTAGGTTCATATTTAAGCTGGCTCAATTCGTTTTAAGCAACTATGTAGTGAAAGAAATTATTTCATTTTCATTCACCTTTATAACATACGATATTAACAATAGAGAGAAATTCCACATCATCTCTTATCAGTTCTCTACATTGTCAATGAAAATATTATTGAGGTCACCCTGTCTAAAAAAATCACCATTCTTATACTCACAGAAATAAAATTATTTTAATTAAAATGCAACATCAAGAGTTATCAGAATATAATCCTATTTCCGATGACTTCCAAATCGGCTGGTTTGTCTCGTTTTTGCTTCATAGATTAATTCAAGTAACTCCCAAAATGCATGAGTTTGTACTACTAAGTATTAACAATCTTCTTACCTCATACATTTCTAAATGTCTCATATTTGTGTGCAGAATGTCAGCATATATCTCACCTTGCCACGGAAACTGATTCAACAGGTACACAGCACGTTGGTGCAGCTCCCGAAGAAGATAAAGACTTTGCTTCTTATCCTGGCAGTTCACCAATAAAAAGGTAATGAAATCTGGAACCATTTATCACTGAAATTTTATCAGAAATGATGAACTGCGAAAATCTCTGGCATTATCTCGAATGTCTCACCACAAAACCACTCGAGTCACACGCTGATTCATCGGCAAATATCATATATATTAAATGACTATAACTCACTGTTTCTATTAAAAAAGGTTGTGGATTGGAAGAAACTGTCAAACCTTATGGTGATGGTTCAACTAACCTCATGGTCACCACCAATAATCACACATTAGAGGAAGATTTGTGGTCCCTGCTGCTTTTCGTGGTTATCAGCTCCGTAATATTGCCTGAATATTTTATGTGAAAACTGATCCACTGACATTTCTGGATTTGTAGAATCTGCAGGAAGCTGTCAGAGTTCGTTCCTTCGGTACAAAAACCGTTGATGAGTGAAATGACATCATAGTGTTTAATTAGTTGTGAGAATTACAATGTACACTACTTATACCTTGCAAACTACTTCCTTGGGAAGGTGATGAATCAAGAGTGTATGATGTTCACAGCCACCCTTAGAGTCGAATACGTTCTATGCATCAACTTCAGTCGTCTCTAAATTGTGTCTAGAGAAGGAAAGTGAGACCGGAATCTAGACTTCAACACCATGCACACAATTTTGTGCGTTGTGGTGCTAAGCGTAATCCCCTGAAAGCTGCATACGACTAACCTTTCAAATCATCATTCATTAACCGAACAGGACGTCAGACTACAGTAAGTGTCGTTTGTCCTAAAAAGCATATACTGAGGAGAAATCGTTTTCCTCTACAACATCAGGACTTGGAAACTCCTGGATGTCGAACCATGAGCTGGACTCAATTACTGACAAGCCCATAGCATGAGAATTGGATACAATCGCTTCTTAACGAAGGCGTATGTATAGCTCTGTGATTTCATCTGTACCTATTTCCTCCTTGTGTATTCCTCTCAGAGAATTGTTTTGCTTAGGAAGCAGTAGATGGTGAAGCGTGTTATCTGAAGGAAAATTTTCATTTCTCCACAGATTTGTATAGTCGTAATAGTTTGGAGTCAGCACGTCACCTAAGTCATCTGCAACATGGAAAAGTATTGCGTGTCCGCTTCACGGTTTCTCAACAGCGTCAAGTGTCACCAACATTACATGAACTTTCTAAACGTAGGATATCACCTAACGTAGCTTCCACTGCACCAAAGTAAATCCAGGGCTAAAACCAACCGATCAGACTGAATCGACTTAATATGAACTCAATAAACTTCTAGCCCACCTATGGAGATTTTAGGTGTTGCAAGGTTTGTCTCAACGCGTGCACATCTGAGCAGTCTCGTACGTCATTTTGCGCTGTTCTTGCGTCCTTGTAACACGCACATTGCCAGAGTTCTTTGTTCAAGCAAAACTAGCCAGACGCATACTGAAATCGTCTCCCCAAATAATCCTAATATTTTTTTCTATTTTAATATGTTGCTCACTACGGCACATGTTTAAACAATCGACACTTTTTGATTTGGATCTTGTTATCAGTAGTTGTGATTCAGGCAGTGTACCATATAAGTGTGTCATTAGACATACCGCACTACATAAGGCTCGTTTGGTGAGGTATATCAACGACACAACCAGAATCTGACAGGTATATCATTCTCATACATCTGAATGTCAATCTCTGACTACCTTGATAAGTGCACTTGGATTTCGATTACTCTAATTGCATAATCATTCACACTAACCATTTTCGCACCACATTAGTGGTTTCTGGTATCCAGTTCTCACTGATTTTGGAGTCCAAACTGTGAGAATAACAAGAAGTGTCTTACGGAATGATGCAGTAATGCGAGACAATGATGCTTTTCATTACAGCTCACGTATCAATCATTCACTAGTTGGATACTTTGAAGACTTGCTGTGTGGTCCGCATTCATCAATGGAGCTTTCACTGTGGAAATTCTGATTTCAGGTGAATTGAAACAAGACAAACCAGCCGATTTGGAAGTCATCGGAAATAGGATTCTATTCTGATAACTGAGAATGTTGTATTTTAATTAAAATAATTTTATTTCTGTGAGTATAAGAATGGTGATTTTTTTAGACAAGATGACCTCAATAATATTTTCATTGACAATGTAGAGAACTGATAAGAGATGATGTGGAATTTCTCTCTATTGTTAATATCGTATGTTATAAAGGTGAATGAAAATGAAATAATTTCTTTCACTACATAGGTATATTGAATAAGGCACAGTACGACTTTTAATTATTAATGAAGCCATCGCTTTTATCTTTGCGCTCTATTGGATTCCTTATTGTAATTAGTGAAATATTTGTTATCTATTGATAACACATATATGCTTGGGTTAATGTTTATCAGTGACCTCGGTGATAAATTCCAGTACTGAGTGAGTCTCAGCCCGTGAGATTTTGTTGACAGGGGTGTGAGAGGATGTAGGTGGTATCATTGAAAACATCCAATAACATCAGAAATTTATTCCATCTCTCTTAATCTACCAGTAGCATATGAATACAGCATAGTTTCTCTCTTGTTAAGTTCAGTATAAATACAACCGCTTATGAAGAGATGCAGAATAACCATGGCGTTGGCGTACACATCTATTTGCCTACTTATAACTGCTTTCTTTCTGTGTACATGTGAATCAGCAAGTAAGTCATTTCTCTATCCATTATCTGCCTTGACCATTATATACACTGGTGAAATGCAACTAGATACCTGCATATGTAAAAGCTTCCATTTATTACCATTATCTTCATTGTGTGAACTGACTGAATCATATGAAGTTAGAACTGGTAGTGGTTGAGGCAGTTTTACAATCCATCAAACGCAATATGCACATCTTAGATGCATTCATCAGAATATTTACTATGTACGCTTCTTCTTCTCTTCTTCTAAATTACATATTCACGTCTCACAGGGATGAAAAGTTAGGCCTTTTATGTATTTGTCAATATCACAACGGCGAAAATGAGAGTGTATCCACTTCAATTAAATTTACTTTATTGTTTACTTCAAGATGAGGAAAGATTCTATATTCAGAGAAGGATCATGGAAAGAAAAGTGAAGGAATATAATGGCAAGTCTCACTACATTTTATATCAGCGCTTCTATCTGTAATTTGAATATTTGTTTGTATATTTGTCCATTTTTTAGCATTATTTTTACACTATACTCAATACATTGAATACGTAAAAGACAGTACATTCTATGGAGTTCACTTTGACATAAGCATGTACTGAAACCCCGAGAGAAGTAGTTCAATAAAGTAAGATCACTGAAGATCACTTTATGCATGTTAAGGATTTTAAGAATTACTGAAGGAAATGGAGATGGATCGAACGTACTATGGGAAGACCATTGAGTGATTCCACGCAACCTGCAGATCATCGAGTGGAACTTGTATTGGAAACGAGGGGTTAATTAATTGTTTATGGAGGGGATTAGAGCATACAGTGGATCATGAAGGCACTTAGAGAGGACTTCAGATTACTTGACGAAATGGATATCTACTGTTGAAGCCACGTATATCACTCGATACTCAAATCGATGCTATTTATTCTTTACTGAGTGATTGTTGAAAATCACGGTATGGAATTCATTGTTCATTGGAATTATCAGTAAGTATAATTAGTATGGTGTTGAGAGCAAATACCTGACTACTGTTCATTAGGCTACTGAGGTCCAACATCTTCCTTTTCCCTACCCTGAATTCATGAACTCCTTTGACCACTAGTTTCTCGTTTGACAGAAAAACCCAATTATCGTTGCAATGCATTAATGACAGGTAGATAATCATCACTTATGCTCAACCTAAAAAGGCTTCAGCCAGTATCAACTTCTTTACTAAGTAAACAAAGGACGAAGTAAATCCTTGAACTGCACACTGAGTTACAACATGAACTTGTTTATTTTATATGGAATTTCAATATTTTCAAATTCATTTTCCACTTCAAATCGTTTTATAGATGCAATGCAAATAAATAAAAAAAACATCAGTCAGTATGAATCGGATACAAAGGCACAAGGTGAAATGAACACGTTTTAATTTACCTCTTCCAATAAAATTATATTCACTTAGAAATTTTAAATTCTTGATTGAATGACAAAATGAAAACCAAGCTGTCCAAAGTGTTAGGAATTCATTGCAAGGTTCTAGGATAACAGTTGAATTTACTAGTGTAAGAGTTACCCTCCCATTTTATTCATTTGCATAGCAGGCTGGATTTCATTCGAAGTCTAAAGCAACTCCACTTGTCTTCTGGTGATTTTCCCACCGAGACACTTTGTCATTTGAGATGGTCAATGCAGGTTTCGACTGTCAGTGAGAACACCATCATTCACTGGAAATGTGTGTATATCCTGCTGACTAGTCCTAAATAGAATGAAATGCACATTCAGGTTTCCACTGCCAGTCAATATCAATCTATATATCTATATATATATATATCTATATCTACATTACAGATGAACTAGTTTGTTGGTGAAATTTGAGAGCCACTGAAATTTATCTCGATTATTGTGTTCTTTCCACTATACCACAATTAGGACACTTGTCTACATGTACTCAACTAGTTTATTCATCGAATATTTTGTCGACGTGTCGTTTCATGGTTTATTCGATGAAAATGAAAGTGGTATGGAATGCGTATATACGGAACTCTTTGGTTTACTTTTCCAATATCAAGCTGGCTATATATGTATAACTGATTTACAAATACTTTTCTCTTCTTCAGTAAAATTAGTAACAAATATGATAGAAAACAAGAGGCGTGTTAAGAGATGTAAGTCAACTGATATACTTTCTATGGAGAATTGATCATCTTTTCAGTTGTGAAATGCCAGGAAATGTACACTACTGAACACAGCCAACTAGACGCTTACAACTGTATGTGAAATTTGAATACACTTTTGTTTACTGACATGGAAAATAATTCATCAGAATATGTCATAATGTAAATGAATCGCTGTATAGACTATTCTGAGCCATTGTTATTGTTCTGGCTTGCATACGAAGACGATGAATCTAGATGAAAATTGTATAGGTTTGGTCAGTGATCACATATTTGCACCATGAGTAAGAACCAGTAGTCAATTGCGAATCTAATCGAGTGCAGATAGTCGCTGTTCATTTTCAGATGAGTCCGGTAATAACAGTACGTATGTGGCTTCAAGTTATGCAGTATGAATTATAAAAGAGCATATTACTGCTTTCGACATCGACGATTAGTGGATTCATTTTAGGGTTGATTGTTTGTTTCGTCAACCGCCTATTCCGAGATTATCATGTCAGTTTCTTTTGACTCTGTTTATTCGTTTTTCCCGCGTCTTTTATTATCCTAATCAAGTTAACATATACATTCTGAATTTCTTGCATATGCAATCCAACAGATTTATTCGCAGAAATAAAGAAATTAAAATATCTATACAGTATGATTTATTTTACACATATTAATTATCTCAGTATTTCAGAGAATAATTTAACTTCAGTTGAAAGTCACAGTGATTATATTTCCTTCCAAATGCATATTCATAGGGTTGTTGTTTAGCAAATGGATTCCAGACATTCATTGTCCTTATTTATTTGAAAATCACCTGAAAAAAGTTAACCTTAGTCGGACACTAGTTAATCACTGGCGTCATGCATCTAGTCGCTCATCTGATGGAGACTGAATTTTGTTAGTTAAGTTTCCAGTGTGACCACTATGCTGAGTGACTTGGCATCATGGCGCTCTGTGAATTGCACTTATTAGGTGGTTGAGTTTTCCGTGCTTGTTGGCACTCGTTGTAACTACCTTGTGTCAAATAGAATCAAGCAGGAGATGTATCACGAGCCCGAATAGCCAATTGATAACATTCCCAACTGCAGAACTGGATGACCCGGTTTCCAACCTCAGGGTGGACATAACTTCATTCAAGATTCTATATACGCCATACTGGCTTGTGAGTGTCAACAAGTGCAAAATTTGGATTAGAGGCTTTTCTCTATTCGCCTACAATCATGTAAAATCACGTCTATTTGCTGCCTTGCATTCATATAAGCTAATAAATTAATTATGAAGAGGATAAACAGTCTTTCAATATTTCATTATGATGTATAATTAAGTTCAATTACTACCAAGAATGTTAAATCACGAGAGAAGTAGGAATTCCAATGCGTACAACTATGTCAAAATCTCTCAGTGAATATCAGTGAAATCAATTGTAGAACATGTATAAGACTTATGTATTTTTCACTGAATAATAGAATTGTTTTGAGAAGTGTACATCCCTTCATTTTTTTATTTTCTTCAGTAACCTTTGCAAAAGATACTGACACAATAATTTATGATGCCGAGCACGAAATCCATAAATATTCAAGTAATTATAAAACTTCCCCATGGGAAAATCTACATTTTCTATCTGTCTGCATGCCTGCCACATAACACTTGCTATTTGATATTGTAACTGTCGTTATTGCCGTTTGTTTAGATAATTTATATGTTCGATCACGAGTTGATATCAGTTAGAGAGCCATTTGAAAATCTAGTAATACTAATCATAAAGCGTGGGACTCCTCATCAGTAAACACCGATTGGGGTTTGAGGCAAGAACCTTCTAGTTGCAAGCTGAGCTCTTAGACCATTCTACCCCTGGGAATTGATCTAATGGCTCGTGAATGCCAACTTCTGCCAATTCACGATATGTAGTGCAATTACTAGCTGCTGTCATAGGTGAGTAACTAGGCTCTTAGGGAATATCAGTGTCTCTATTACCTCCACGCATCAGTTTTATGCTTACATCAGTCCATGATACTCTAATAGTTTCTGTGACAATTAACCACCTACATCTCACTCTTAGTTCGTCATCATCTAGTTAGTTGGACAGCTGAAAATACTGTGATTATTCGAGTGATCAATAAGATTCAGGTTTCTTTTGGTTCTAACTTCCATATTCAACCAATGCATTCGATAAACACTTCTTTATTCTACCACATCAACGTGATAAGTCCCATAAACACTTAAATATCCTTATTCAGAAGATAATGAGATTTTAATTGATACTGTTTTGTTTTTATTTCTCTGCATCATGGTGACTACAAAATTTAGAAATTGTGAGAGGTTAGTTCATGTTGCAAAATAATAATAAAATTAATGGACATTATTGTAGATATATTTATATATTTCCGTCACTAACTATATACATATTGACATTTTTATTCCTCGTGTACAATGAATAGATAAGATGTACGGTCCAAGAAATAAAGGTTGCACTGCCTATCTAACTCGGACTCAAATTCAAGGTATCTAAATATCATTCTTTGTCATGTATATATCAGTGTAATGACATTATTCATATTCATATTACTCACATACATTCATTGAGTAGTCTCATTCATAAAAACAGACTTACTTTAATCATGATTCAATATTTCCTTATAGATGAAAGTAAGTTGATGTTTACAAAGTTTATAAATGCTGAATATGTTGTCTAGAACGATATCCAGAACTCCTCAGTTGAAATGTCCAGAGATGACCTCAACTACAAGAGAAAAATAAGCCATCACTTATCACAGGAATCTCTTGATTTCTTTCAAATTTATAAAAAATAATTCGCTTGTGAAGAACCCTTTCTCAGTTTCTGTATGTTGCTGACAATCAGAAATGTCTCCCTTGTCACAGGCTGATAAATAAAAACAATTATACTCCATAGAAATGTTATAAGTCATTTCATATATAATATATGCACGTATCTATTGCTATAGAGAACAATAAGAAAAGACAGAAATACATCATTACGATGTCTCTAGTATTCGCCTACAGATGAGTCAACACATTCACACTGACGATCAATCTCGATTAAACTCGTACAACCTACTTTACATTGTGAATGTTCGAAAGAAATCATACATATCTGCAGAATGTCAAGTATACTAGAAAATTGAAGAGAACGAATCTGACAATCGTCTGTTGTTATGCAACGCTTGTAAACTCCCTCATCACAAAGTTTTACTTCACCATTTCTGTTCCACCTAACGTAAATCTGTTTTGGCTTTCTCCCTCTCGCTGTCTCTAGGAGTTAAACGTTTAATTGAACTGATATCTAAAAAACATGCTGAAAATGCAAGCTACCTAAAAAATATGAGTGAGTATACTGAACTTCCTGTTAACTTCACTGTGTGGAATTCTTGAATTCATATTTTCATATGCGAATAGAAATAATGAGAGATGCAGCTTCCAGTTGTATAACCACTATTTCACTTTGCCATCTAGATACTTTATCAGATATACTTTAGTTTCAAACCTCATTGCAATAACAATACTACTGTTTTTGTAATTTAGTTCTGAGATCAGTTTTTGAAGGTTTCCTCATTGGACTTCAGGTAAGAACAGACTGACAGTATAACCCTCATTTGATTTGCTAAACTCTATCTGCTTACATGCAAGTGTTAACTTACGACTGGACTCTGATCTACCCCCTATTTCCTAAAAGTAGACAGAAGTATTTTTAGCAGAAAATGCGAGAGATTTCTGCAGACATTCAGAGGCTTATCCAAAACCAAACGCTGACAGATTAACTGACTACATTCCCTTTATTGAATTCATATCAGAAAAACATGTTTTCTTTGTATTTCATCTTTTCCTTAAGATCGTAGAAAAAGATAATGCACACCTACCATTTTAATTTGGTCGTCGGGGATCATGCAGTATGGAGTAGTCGGCGCTGTTTAATTTTATTTATTGAAACTTAAACAAGTAGCTAGTTATTTTGATTTGATAAATTGATTTAATAATTTTCTAATTAAATAATAAAATGATTTTACTAAGTTTATCCAGACCTTCTTCTTATTTCAAACTAAGAATTACACGTACCTCTAGAAAGCAGTAGAAATCGAATGGGCACACAGGAAGGAAATTTGTGGTCAGACAATATTCTTTTTAATTAGACCTCTCCGGGAATCTTTTCCGATGAAATACAACCTTACAAATAAGCATAATTAGCGTGAAATAGTCATTATGATTTGCTTATAGGATTGAGTATTACTAGGAAGTGAGCAAAGTAGATAAAATGCATCTGCGTTTTGATACAATGAGAAGAAAAGCAGTTGTCGAGGAAAGGATATGAAATGTGATGTGTGTAATTGTGTATAAACTGGTTAGTTTGTTCTTCATCGGCCGATGATTTGATAGTAGCTGTGCTCACGCTTTTTTGTTCCTGCAGGTTAGGATATTACTATTTCAGTATCTCCCATACTCAAAGAGCGAGTGCGATGACCATCACAAATTTCAGTCACACTGACTGACTGTGTTGGTCAAGTTCACTGACCAACGACTATCATCTAGATGGGACACAATGGAGCATGCGTTAGTTCCCACCAGTGCCTTACTCAGTTTCGATGAGGCATGTTCTGCACAACGTTGACTAAGCTACATGAACAGACACTGAGCTTGATTTCAGGTAATTTTGAAAACTTTCAAGACTTTGTCTTCGATGTTGATCAAGTATGACACTGAGTGTTTCGAGCACTCATCTTGAGAGTCTAGATCTACAGCACTTTTTTCAAAACCACACATATTAAAAGGACAGTAACATGTTTCGTGTAAGTGCGTTAGGAAGGTGCTAGATGACAACAAACTTTTACAACTATATCGAAACCATCAGAGAAAGGAAGTACTGCCTTACTACAGATCAACATATTACAGATAAGGTTTGATTAGGATTCAAGGTGGTAAAGAGTGAGCAGCTGATGCCCTGTAGGTGATCAAATGACGCTGAAATAGTCAAGAATAGACTAAGAAACACAATTACCATCGTTGCGTGCTATGCCTGACTCTGATGAATATGCTGTGACACATTCATATCTTCACATTCTATAATGTGCTAAATGCTGTGTGCCACCGAAAACAAACAAGGCTGTATTGAATGAACAGTGTGAGTGAAAACTTGAGAAAATATCTTACTTGTGAAATCAAACTTTGAAGCAAACAAACCAGAAACAAGCGTGTGTGTGACGACCTAAATTATGCATAAAACAATCAAAAACCAGTGTTCGATGATACAACGGCTGATATTCAGTTAGCATAAAGAAGACTGGTTTCCGTAAAAGTATAATATGAGTACAAGCATAAGATTTATAGGCATTTAGTTAGACTTAATATGGAGGCAGTACACTACTTAACATGTATAATTGTTGGTGGATAGGATTATAAAGATGAAGGGTGTTTAACAGTGGTAAGAGGATGGAACAAATAATCAAAACTGTGATTATAGAAAGAGGAAGTTATCAAAACAATGTAAGGTGGATCCAAACATTCTTCTGTACACATAAATCTAGCTTCAATCGTCGGATTGCTGCCTCTTCTGCATATTTTACGGCAATCAGTCACCTATCGTATAGAGAGAGATTTCATGTATGCTGATGAGACTTGCAGCTGACATCCCATACCAGGCCATCATGTGGAACCCGACTGGTAGCTGACATTTTGAATTTGCGACGATTTCACAGAGGAGACCGTGTGGAAATAACAGGTAAACCTTATGGCAGAAATGTAGGCATTCAAAAGTGATAACAAAGATTTGAATAAAGAAGGAGGTGAGCCTCTGAAGTTGAGGACTGAATAATATGAGTATATATACTAAACTGATAAATTCATGATTCTAGTGGGTAATTATATAAAAAAGTTCCATATAACTTGCTTTATACATCAAATGGATACTTGTGCCAAAATGGATTGTGAACTACAATTGGCGGGTTTTCGTTTACAGAGTCGAACGTTAGTGTATTCACAACACAAAACATTCACCTATGAGTCGAAACGTATTTACAGATCTTGGAATTACTGTGATCTGTAGTAACTTAGAAAATCATCAGTTGCAATAATTCTACAATTTTGAAAATCTCTCCCTTTGGTATAAGGTGTTACATACAAGCTATTGCAACCAAAATAGGTCATTAATTGTGACTTACCAGTGAATCTTCTGGCCGCCAATCGGTGATGATTTTAAACATTGATTTCTCTCATTCACTCCACTAACCGTTTCAACGTGGTGTGTTGAAATTCACTAAAGGATAGACTACAATGTTCGCATGTACCTAATGATTCCACTACTCATATAACTTTTGTTAAACAACGTTGTTCTGATTTATGCATGTATTTATCGTGTCATTCATACCATCACCTTCTCAGCATTTCGTCTCCTTTCGGAAGTGACTGCTTACAATGGAAATCAGTGGTTGGATGAGGTCTTCTGTCAAATTAACCCCGAATCTCCCACTTGCCAGCCTCGATGTTTTTGAATCCACTTTGTACTCTATATTGTAAAATCGCTAAGTACTTCCGCTTCCACCGGTTACAAAACGTATCGGCATGGATTTATCATTGTTTCTATAGTCACGAATAACGTCCAGACAAACTTACTTCGATTTCCGGAACCTGGTCAGGATTTCCGGATAACAGACTGTGGTTTGTAGTAGCCACGTTCAGCTGACTCGAGTCATGGTAAATAGATACGAACGGTCTGCTATTTAGTACCTCTTCTACTTCCACGGAGTAGGTTGTAGGCAATTCGTTTGTGAGGAATCGCTCCCTCGAGATAGCGCTCAACTACTGACACAAGGTACTAATTAACGTCACCAATACTTAGCCATGGTGACTAGCTTAGGGTGTGTTTAGCTACTACTCTATGGCATGATTTGTCATCGTTACTATTACGCGATCGCTGTCTTATTGTAAGATTTGCCGTAATTCACGATCAGCCTCATCAAAAACTGTAACTTGTTCTCTTTTGAAGTCCCCCTCCTTTACAGTTGGTGAAACGTAAAAATATCATCGAAAATGAATCCACAGAAAGTGTGAGCCTCTTCTAAGTGAACTGATCGAGTTTCCGAACAGGAATATATGCGTCCATATATATTTTCTGCTATGCGACTCGACTTATCACTGAAGGGGCTAAATTAATCTACGCCATTGCTCGTAAGTGAAAAGTGTGACGTCATCCTTGCTATTCATCAGTCTGCCATCAGATGTTCAGTGGGTTCTACAGACTTTATTGGCTTGCCGATGCATCTGTTTACCACACGCTGAACTACTGCTGCTCCTTTCAATTACCAATATTTCCTACGTGATGCTGAAACATATGAGCCACTTCTGTATGTCCTTCAATTTCATGTTAATGTCGAATGATAATTTCCGTGACAGCATAAGTCCCTGGTTATATGACTTGAACGTGACAGTCTACTATTACTCAGTCATCCACCGACACATATCAAGCCACTTAAAATAATGAGGTGCAGTATCTCGATACTCTGAGGGTGTAAGAAAACTTGAAACCTTCTTAACCAGACTTCCGCTCTATGAACCCTTTTCCAGAGTGAGAAGTACGACAATAAGTTGTCCACTGGATGTGTTGCTGCTCGTGTCATCAAAATATTGATTTCTTTCACCTGTATATCAGGTGAATTTATCAGCATGTATTTGCCTACGAACTTTGAACAATTTTCCGAAGAATTTTCATTCCCCTAGAGGCAAGGTCAGCAGGATTCATATTATTTGGTACGCGTCACTGTTGTGATTGCGTGTTGTTATCGAGTAGAAAACCTACTCTGTTATCTGCATAGGTTTCAAAGCGGTTGTCCTGTTGAGGATGTAGCTTAATACGATCGTAGTATCTGTCCACTGATATGCATCGTTCAGTTCTAATTTTAATTCTTGTAATATGTATTTAACAGCTTCTCTGTAAGCACAGCTTCCTGTGGTTCCAGACCTGGCACTGTGACGTGCTTCAGAAGACCTACTCTAGACGTCTCCATAATAAAACTGCAGTTCACTTCTTTTAAAAAGAACTCATAACACGAATATGCTACTGAACCGAACCCTACCAAAGAGGCATTCGAAAACATGTGCAGTGATTTAACATTTATAATAGATGCGGGTAAGTCACCACCTGCAAATCGAGACATGGTTAACTGAATTCATCATGAGTTTTAGTAGTACTGACTACTATTCCTGGTAGAATAATGACTGGTTCACTGCTGGTCTGTACAGGTTAAGAGAGTATAACGAAAATTGAAAATACGCTTTGACTAGTAACAACGCCCCATTATTTCAAATTTATGGTGAAATTTCGTTTCAACGATTTCCCGGTGTCATTTTATCGTCCATCAGATGGTCATCATTTAGTTTGTGATGACAGATAAAACAAACTACGAAGCAGTAATCCTGCATAGAAACAGTGATATGTCTAAAACATAATCTGCTTCCAAGGATGTGATCTATTTCCCTATCATCCTTTATAACTTACTTCTTAGGATGGTCTGAAGGACCGCTTAAAGAGAGAGAATTGTATGCTTCTATGAGATTTGGAATATGCAGAAACATTTAAAGAAACCATGCAAGCATTCGGCTGTCATCCAACGCTTGTATACTCGATGAAACCAGAGATAACAATGTTTCGGTTAATCATTTTCAAGCCTAACACGAGTGTATTTCGACTCTCCCTCTCTTTCGCTATCTCTGTTTCAAGCAGTTTCACCATTAATTGAAATAACATTGAGGGGTTTTGTTGAAAGACAAATCTACTTAATAAACAAAAGTGAATATAGCGAATTTCAGAATTCCTGAATTCATATTGTTGGCAAAGAGATATCTAAGATTTGAAGGAGGGAGGGGTAAAAACAATTATGTAATTCAATTCACTAGCCGATCGATACTCACTCAGTTCAAAAAAGTAAAGACGAACTACCTGCCCAATTTCGTCTCTTCCATGTGTATTTACCAGCCTAACTGCTTCAATTGAGCTAGTTACATTGGGCATACGATCAGACAAGTCC